GGTTCTGAAGTGCCTGCCCACAGACATGAGGAGGTACATGAGTCATTTTTACCAGGCCCCAGCAAAATAGACAAAATAAGAATAATATTCATTTCAATGTGATGTTGCCAATTGTCTTGATTATAAAGAACTTTGTTTTAATATAAGAATGTGTTTTTCATTTTTTTATTGTAAAATATAATTTCTCTAAAAACAATTATATCAATAGTAAATGATAATTTGGGATTTCTGTTTTCATGCCATTTATTGCAAAATAAAAAGTTTAGCAATACTAGTTCAGCTTATTTTTAACAACTTTCAATATCTTTAAGTGTACAATTAAGTGGTATCAATTACATTCACAATGTTGTGCAACTATCATCATCATTTTCATATTTTTCATCACCCCAGATATTCTGTAACCATTAAAAAGTAACTCCCCATTTCTCCCTCCCCCAACCCCTGGTAACCTCTATTGCATTTTCTGTCTCTATGAATTTGCCTATTTTTTCATATAAGTGAAATCATACATTTATCCTTTTGTATATGGCTTATTTCACTTAGAATAATATTTTCAAGGTTCAGCCATTGGTGTAGAATGTATCAAAACTGGATTCCTTTTAAAGGCTGAATATTTTCTGTTCTACATATGCACCAGTTTGTCTATCCATTCATTTGTTAATGGACCCATTGTCTTCCCTTTTGTGGCTAATGTGCATAATGCTGTTATGAACATTAATGTACATGTATCTGTTTGAGTCCCTGCTTTCAATTCAAGTGCTAATGTAGCCAATGGCTAGTCCATTGGACAGCACAGCTCTAGAGCAACCACTAACAACATAAAACAAGGAGGGAGAGCTAAAAAGCAACAGAGGAGGAAAAATGGAATGCTAAAGAAGTACTATAGTAATCCAGAAGAAAGAAAGAAAGAAAAAAGGCAAAGAATAAATAGAACAAATAACATATCTAGGTATGGCAGATTAATTTCTCATTAACTACAATGGAATAGGATGCAGGAAAGGGGAGCAAGAAGGCTCAAAGGCAGCTTTTTAGTCCCAAACCCACCTTAACACATTGCGGACCAGTAGTTTTACTGCTAGCTTTACCCAGTGACCAGATAAGTTTCTATTGAATGAGCACAAATAACATTTTACATAAATGTTAAAGGCACACTTTAAAATTAAATAACCATTGCATTCTGAAGTTATTTATTACATGTTCTCACAAGCTAATATCTTTTAAAGTATGATACCATGTAAAACACTGTGTAATATGAAGCAAGAATTCTCATGATCTGTCCACAATATGTTAATATGCTTTGTAAACTTAAGAGACCTAAATTTCTCATCCTGCATTTGTTCCTTTACCAAATAACTTACCAGAGGTGGGGCCAGAATGAAGTCACCACCCACCCCTCCCAACCTCTCCCTTTCTGGGGCAATAGTTATGAAAATGGACTTGGGAAAAAACCAAGATGGTGGCGTAGGTAAACGCCTAACTGCAACCTCACACAACAATTTCAAAAAAAAAAAAAATACAATTAAAATACAAAATGGACATTATCCAGAACTACAGAAAAGTTGACTAACGGGAAATTCTACAACTAGAAGGAAAATCAGAGGAGCTGTAAAAGCCTAAGGTACAGAGACACTGTGCGCGTGGGGAGAGGACCAAGCCGGAGAGGAAGGAAGGCTGAGTGCCTGTCAGGCATTCCCTAGCGGGAAGGAAATAAAAGCTCTGGACTGTGATGAACCCCAGATCCGACAGCACTGAACCCCAGTTCTAGGCCAGACCCTGGGGATCCAAGCTCATACGGAGGGAGACTGGGCTGAAAGGCGAAAACTCAGGGGAGCGGTGAAAGGAAGTCCTGGAGACACGCACATTGCATGCAGAGACTGTGCCTCTGGATTGCCTTAGCGGGAAGGAGACAAAAGCTCCAGACTGCTCTGAACCCCAACTCCAACCCCACTTCCAACTGCACTGAACCCCAGTTCCAGGCTCATTGGGGGAGAGCCTAGACTGTTTGGTAGCCGAGAAAACTCGAGGGCACCTTTCTCTCAGAGGTGCTTGCAGCGAGTACCAAAGGACCCTGAGGAACACTGAGACTCAGGAACCTCACAGGGTAGGGCTGACAGGAAGCCAAGGCTGACAGGAATCTCAGCCCCATCCAAGCTGAGCAGAGGCTTTTGTAATTTTCCAAGTCTAGTAGAATAAGGTTGTCTCCTGGCATATACACAGCTGATCCTCACAGCCAATTGGCCTGGAGGTCAGTTCTTCCCAGTGATACCAACAACAATCAAGACTTAACTACAACAAGGCTGTACACACAGTCCACAAAGGGGTGCACCAAAAGTGTCCACCTCAGGTAACTGGGAGGCTGACCCACTGAACCATATAGGACACTTTAGCATCCAAAGCCACCCTACCAACTCAGGGAAGCAGAGAAAATGCACAGACAAGGAAACAGATCACAAGTGAAAGAAATGGAGGACAAGTGACTGGATATAGAGTTCAAAACCACAGTTATAAGATTTTTCAAGAATTTCCTAGAAAAAGCCAATAAAATAAATGAGACCTATGAGGACATGAAAGGGGATCAACTAGAAATAAAAAGGGATCAATTAGGAATAAAGAATACATTGTCTGAAATAAAAAAAATATTATAGAGTCCTAAAAACAGAATGGAAGATCACAAAAATCAAGTCAAAGATTTGGAACATAAAGAGCCAGAAGACACTCCTCTGCAGAAGCAAGAAGACAAGAGAATCCAGAAAGTTGAAGATAGTGTAAGAAACCTCTGGGACAACTTCAAGCAAACCAACATCAAAATTATGGGGGTCCCAGAAGAAGAGAGCAAGATACCGAAAACATATTCGAAGAAATGTGACAGAAAACTTCCCCCAACTGGGAAAAGAATTAGACTTACAAGTTCAGGAAGCGCACAGAACCCCAAACAAAAGGAATCCAAAGAAAACTATACCAAGACACATCATAATTAAAATTCCAAGAGCAAAAGACAAAGAGAATATTAAAAGCAGCAAAAGAAAAGCAGGTAGTTACCTACAAAGGAGCACCTATATGATTGTCAGCTGATTTCTCAACAGAAACCATGCAGGCCAGATGGGAATGGCAAGAAATATTCAAGGGATGAATAGCAAGAACAAGAACCTACAGCCAAAAATACTCTACCCAGCAAAGCTATCACTCAGAATCGAAGGCCAGATAAAGAGCTTCACAGATAAAAAAATAAATAAATAAATAAAAAATAAAAAAAAGCTAAAGGAGTTCATCACTGCCAAACCAGAATTATATGAATTGCTGAAGGGGGTTCTTTAAGAAGAGGAAGAAAATAAAGATAAAAATTATGAACAACAAATATGTAACTATCAACAAGTGAATCTAAAAACCAAGGGAATTAAAAAAATCTGATGAACAATATTAGCTATAATAGAATCAGAGGTATGGAAGGGGAGTAAACTGATGATTCTCGGGGAATAGGGGAGTGGGGGGTGCGGGAAGAGACTGAACATAAACTGTGCACCTATGGATGAGGACAATGGGGGGTGGAGAAAGGGCAGAGGGTGGGGTGGAAACTGGTGGAGGGGAGCAATGGAGGGGGGGGGAAATGAGGAACTTTTGTAATAATATGAACAATAAAGATTTATTTAAAAATAAATAAATAAATAAAAATTAAAAAATTAAAAACCCACAAAATATCATAGAAACACATAACATATTGGTGGTTGCACAGTGAGCAAAAGGAGGAAAGTGGTCAATTGTATGGTGATGATAGTAATTAGACTTTTACTAGTATAAGTGATCACTTTGTAGTAGCTATAGATATCAAAATATAATGTTGTACATCTGCAACTTATATAAAAAGAAAAAAAATTAAAATAGCAAAACAAGAGCATGTCAGATAAGAAAACAACATGTATTAGGATGTGGAAGTAAGAATAAAGCTATGTAAACTAGACATAGTTTATGACACATGCAAAAGAAAATGCTTGGTAGAATGAGGCCAGATTGTGGAAGGTCTTTGAAATCATAAAGAAAAGAAAGAAATATTGTGGAAACAATTAGAATTTTGAATGGGAAATTATTTAGAATCTAGGCAAGGTAAATCATGTATCAAAAACTTAGTCAAATCTACCCACAAAATGACATCTGAAAATAAATCTAGATAAACATCAAGAGATTAATTAAATTAATCATAACTTTATATATTTATTCAATTGTATAAATTATAAATAATTTTGCGTGGCTCAGGGGTTAAGCGTTAACCTAGGAGCCAGGAGGTGACAGTTCAATTCCTGGCCAGGCCACATATCCGGGTTGGGACACGATCCCCAGTGTAGGGTGTGCAGAAGGCAGCTAATTAATTATTCTCTCTCATCATTGGTCCCTCTCTCTCTCTCTTGCTCTCTCTGTCTCTCCTTTCCTCTCTGAAATCATAAAAATATTAAAAAATTATAAATTATACCAAGACATTTCTTAGGTCTAAATATTTAGCAGCGTACATAAAGCACACTAAAATTTTTGCCAAAAAATCATAACTATTTTTTGAGCAATTTATGTCCACATGTATAATCTCCATCAATTCTTATAACAACCCTGCAAAGTCTATACTGTGATAAATTTTTTTAAATGATTCTTAAAAAACTCAAATAACTTGTCCAAATCAAACAGCAATGATAAGCAGCAGAATGAAAACTTAAGCCCATATGTGTTTAAAGCCAAAATCTAAAATCCTCTTATCACTTTCTCAAAAGTAGGTATTTTTTAAAGATTGAACAACCTCTTTATAGAAGTTTCTGTATCCTAAAAACCTTTGTCTGGCAAATGGTGGGAAGAGATGTAGCAACTACAGATCAGGTGTGTCTAGCTTGAAGATACTTATTTTTTCAGAAAACCTCCAAGGAACTATGAAAATCCATAGTACTGACTTAGAAATCTACATAAAGGAAATATCTGTTCCCAACAAAGCTCTACAAGATTATATAAAACTTACCTCAGTATATGATTTCTTGGTAATGTGAACATTCTTAGCTCTATAGGTCTGATGTCTTCTTTTATAATCCCTCACTTCTGCCAAGATTTCAAGGTAAGACTTTGCACTTTTTCGACTGTTATCTAATAAAAAATAGAATTATTATATCCTTAGAAAAATGTACATTCTTAAAAATTAACAGGAAGGAACACAGCAATCATATTTTAACATGTTTCAAAATACGTTAAAATATGAAAATTCAACATTATATAAATGGGCTAAGTTTTATACCATTCCTTTTCTCTAGTCATCAGTTGAACATAAAAGTGTTTAGGCACATAAATTACAGCAATAGCACAGCTGTAAGTAACAGTTTCACAGAAGGATGCTTCGCTTAATGTAAATATCAGAGAGCAAACTTTCCCTACCGAATAAACATCTTTTATTATATATGTGAACTAGAGGCCCAGTGCTTGAAATTTGGGTGTCCCTCAGCCCAACCTGCACCCTCACAATCTGGGACTGCTGACTCCCAACTCCTCTCCGGCCTGTCTGACTGATTGCCCCTAACTGCTTCTGCCTGCCAACCTGATTACCCCCTAACCACTCCGCTGTCAACTTAATCAATACCTAACTGCTCTTCTGATGGCCCGATTGTCCCAACTGCCCTCCCCTGCAGGCCTGGTCTCTCCAACTGCCTTCTTTCCCCTGTAGACCCAGTCACCTCCAACTGCCCTCCCCTGCTGGGCTGGCTGCCCCTAACTGTCCTCCCCTGCTGGCCTGATCACCCACAACTGCCCTCCCCTGCCAGCCATTTTGTGACCACATGGGGGCAGCCATCTTTGCATGAGGGCATGATGGTCAATTTGCATATTTCCTCTTTATTATATAGGATATTAGGTGACACAAAACCATCTTATTTCTACTTAAAGTGGCCTGACAAATCATCTTAATTACAACAAAGAATGGAATAACAATTAAGAAATATAAAACTATGATATTCATCTCAAACCTTGATTGACTTTTGCAGCCAAGTCTACAAAGAGATCACTGTCATTTTCAATAATTTGGGAATCAGAGCGCTTTTTCTTTGTCTCCTCAATTACAAAATCATAGAGGGCAAGACAATCGGCTTGGGTAAGATCACAAACAAATCGTTTGTGATTCAGAGGAACTTCAACAGGTAAGGAAGAATAAATCCCTAAAAGTAAAAATAAAACCACAAAAATAAAAATAAATGATGCACTGTGGACTTAAGATCTACTACTTATCTATAAACATGCACTATAGTAATGCAGTATGAAATCAAATTTTCTCATAGTAATGCCTAAACTATAAAATATCAGTCTATGTGAAAAGTGATAAATAATGACTTTATCCTGAATGCTACATTCACATACAGGATATATTGTGGCTATATGCTCTTCTCTTCAACAATGTTAAAACAGATCCCATGAAGGCAGGCAGTAATTATCATAAGACACTGTTCATAAGAAAACCTTTTGGTAAACAATTTTTAAAAGGCTACCCATATTATAAAAGTAGATATTAACTTGCTTTCTGTGTATCTGTTTTTTCCCATAAAAAGCTGGTGGGAAAGACTTTTAATAGGTAATAAATATTGTAGTTGCATTGAAAATAAATTATAGAAATATGAAAAATATGTTTAAAAATATCCTTTTTTATGAGACATCAAGCTACTCATTCTGAATTAAAAACATATCCCATTTATATAATGACTCAGAGCTACCGACCAAAAACAATTAAGTAGCAGAAATCCCACACTTCCTCAGACCAGAGAAAGACAGGTTATAATGAGATTAAACTTCTTTTAATTTTCAGAAGAGGAAGCATGTTGGCTTAACCAAGTTTACTGAAAAAAAGTTAACAGCAGTGCCCCCACAACAGATACAGAACTTTCTAAAATCTGCTCATTAATGAAAAAAAGTAAATACAATACCTTGATATGATGTATTAAACTTTGAAGAAAAAATTTTGTTTTTAGAATCAAATTTTCTCAAAGAAATAAAAAATTATTGTAACTGTAAATAAAGCAATTTAAAATGATAGTCCCAGACTCATTATTCACTAATGCAAAGAATATGAGTTATCAAATATACCCTTTTAATGTTTGGTAGGTTACCCTATAGTAATAACTCTGGTTCATAGAACAATATAAAATCAGTAGCTCTTCCCAGATACTTATATTTGATATTAGCTTTGTTGATTATACCATTCATGATGTGTGTATACTGATTTATTTCCTTTTAGTTACAGTTTATGCATTTTTCTACCTATAAAATCACTTTATTTTTTTCAAGTTTTATTCAGGAATAATTGACATACACCTCTGTATAAGTTTAAGGCAGACAGGATGATGGTTGGATTTGCATATATTGTGAAATGATTACCACACTGTGTTCAGCTAATATCTATCTAAGATGTGACAAACAAAATTGAAATCTCTAATGGAGCAGCTAGAGTTAATTTTCTCTTCAAAGTAAAAACCACAATTCTTACATTCTATTGTGCTTTTTTTTTTTAATGGTTTCTTAGACTGTTTCTTAAATTAGATTTTAGATCTTGTGTTTTGATCTGATTTCATAGTTTACCCAGTTTTATACACTAGAATAACTCTATTAATTTATTTCCTGAGAGGAACTACTTTTTAAAAGTAGAAAGTTTACAATGCTTTAGGGTTCATTTAAAAATCAACTCTAAGAATTCTGTATTTTTAAAAAATTACATTACTGGCAAATTGTAGATTTCAGGTATCTTAATAGTGACATTTTTAATAAGGCTAAACTGTTCCAGAGAGAAACCTGTACGTAGTCAGGGGTAGGCTGACTTCTAAGACACAACTGTGAGGGTGGAGATTATTTTTCTTTTAATTTGAGGTCACTTTGTCTGGCTGGTCCTATCCCCATAGCCCAGTCATGGTTTCACTCACAGTGACCTAACGCATAGAGTAGGGATCTGGCAGAGGAGGAGCAGAGGCGGGCAAACCTCAGGGAGCTGAAGGCTTCCCTGAGCTGGTTAAATGTGCCATGCTCTCTAAGTGCTACCTGCAGTGGAACCTGCCAGAAAGTCCTGCTCTTCCCCCCTCAAATTCTCAGTTATTCTGAGCTCCTGGAGGAGGCAGAGACTTCCCCACTTCTCTCTCTTATTCCTGCCTGTGTGTGTGTGTGAGTGTGTGTGTGTGAAAACATGTGTGAAGATATGTATAAATATGGATGTCACTGTGTGTGACTAAATGTTACTGTGCGTTTAAGCGTGTGTTACAGTGAGTGTGTAGGGGCATGTGAATGCCAATTTGTATGGTTGTTTGTAGGTGTGTATGAATATGTGTGTGAATGTATGAATTGTGTGACTGTGTGAATGTGTATGTAAGCATATATGAAGGGATGTGTGTGCATGTGTGTGAGGCTGTGTGAATGTGAATGTGTATGAATGATTGTGAATTGGTGTATATAAATGTGCATGTGTGTGTGTGTCTGTACCCTGGGAAGAGACTTCTTTCATTATAACCTCAAGGCCTCAAATGTAGAGCTTTGGTCTCCTCTTCAGATGAAGTTCAACTCACAGCGAGACATGGACAGCCTTGAACCACGATACCATCTGCTTCTAGCACATGTTCCATAGTGGACATCATTGAAGAAGCCCTGTGAGTCAGTACTTTAGAGAGTAAATTCTACAATTATCTGTGGTGCACAATTATCATAGGAAATCCATTATTTGCAGTTAAAATATTTATTAATATAAACATTAAAAAGCCCCCCATTTTAAGCCCCATTGGCACTTCTCAGCTCTCTCCTCCAAGGGCGTCTCCGTGGCATGGTGGGCGGGTGCAGTTGCCATGGGGGTTCCATCGCCAGCTGCAGGCGGCTGTGCCTCAGGTGGGCTGCTGGGCTCCCTCAGGTGTGAGCGTCCCGGGGGCTGACCTGCTGTGCGCCTCTCTGCACCTGCACACGATGGCAACCCCCACGCAGCTGCCCTGCTTCTCTTAACAGGCCATAAAAAAGAAGAAATTCTCATCATTTGCAGCAACCTGGATGGAATTGGAGAACATCATGCTGAGTGAAATAAGCCAGTCAATGAAAGAGAAACACCACATGACCTCACTTATTTATGGATGTTAAAGAACATTATAAACTGATGAAACAAAAGATAGATATAGAGACAGTAAAGGAACAAGCAGACTGTCAAATTACAGAGGGGAAGGAAGGGAGATCTGGGGGAGATAAGAGATCAACCAAAGGACTTATATACATGCATAAAAGTACAACCAATGAACATAAGACTTTGGGGAGGAAGGGCATATATGGAAGGGGGGAGCAATTGTATATGTATAAGGATAATAATTTAATTTAAAAAATTAAAAACAAACAAAAAACAAAAACAAAAATACAGGCCTGTGGGGTAGACAGGAGGGAACCAAAGCTTGCCCAGGGTTTCTCATCACTGTGTGTCCAGAGGCCTCCTGGGAGTGGGAACTCAGGTGGCCTGAGTACGTCCCACCAAGGTTCTGTTTTAAAATCTGGCCTTTTCCTTTCTCTTTTTTGGATAATTTTATCACAGTAAAATTTACCATTTTCACTGTTTTTCAGTGCACAGTGCAGTGGCATTAAGCACATTCATACTGTTGTGTGGCCCACACCACCATCATCAACATGACTTTTCCCATCTTCTCCAACCAAAACCCTGTCCCAATAAACAACAACTCTGCATCCCCACCCTCACCACACACACACCCCAGCACCACCACAGGTACCTTTATCTTTCCTTCCATCTCTGACTCCAATGGCGTTAGGGACCTCATGCGAGTGGAATCACACAGTAGTTGTCCTCTTTAGACTGGCTTTTGCACTGAACATGACATCAAGGTCCATTCAAGTTATAGATTCTGCCACAATATTTTTCCTGTGCTTTTAATTCAATCTATTGGGTTGACATTGGTTAATAAAGTCATGTGGACTTCAGGTGTACAATTCTATAACACATCATCTGCATGTTGTATTGTGTGCCCAATATCCCAAGTCAAGTCTCCTTCCATGACCATTTGACCCCCTTTACCCTCTTCCACCTCGACCACCACCGTTCCCTCTGGTGATCACTATAGTGATGTCTTTGTCTATGAGTTGTTGATTTTCTTTGCTTAATCCCTTCACCTTTTTCACCAGGCCCAACAGCACCTATCTCATCTGACAAACGTCAGTCTGTTCTCCTTCTATGAGTCTCTATTTGTTAATTTATTTTGTTCATTAGATACCACATATAAGTGAACTCATATGCCATTAGTCTTTCTCTGACTGGCTTATTACACTTACCATAAGCTCTCCAGGTCCATCCACGTTGTCACAAATAGAGATTCCATTCCTTTTCACAGCCAAGTAGTATTCCATGGGGTCAATCTACCAAAGCATTTTTATCCAATCGTCTACTGAAGGGCACATGGGTTAAAGATCTTGGTGTTGCAAATAAAACTAGAATAAGCATAGCAGTGCATATATTCTTTCCAATCAATGTCTCTGATTTTTTGGGATACATTCCCAGAAGTGGAATTGCTGAAGCATAAGGAAGTTCCACTTTTAATTTTTGAGGTAACTCCTTACTGATTTCCATACTGGCTGCACAAAATGCTTTCCCCACAGAGATGTGTGCCTCTCTGCACAGGATGGTGACCTCCTCAAAGCTTCCCTGCTTTTCTTAATAGTCGGTTGGGTAGCAAGGGGGAACCAAGACTGGCCCAGGGTTTCTCAACAGACCACACACCCCAGGCTCTTCTCATCGCTGTGTGTCCAGAGGCCTGCTGGGAGCGGGAATTCAGGTGGCCTGAGCACCTCCGACCATGGTTCTCTTTGAAGACATGGCCTTCATTCCTTTCTCTTTTTTTGGATAGTTTTATCATGGTGACATTTTTCATTCTCACTGCTTTGCAATCCACAGTGCAGTGGCCTTAAGAACATTGATACTGTTGTGCCAACCGAACCGCCATCATGGCCTTCATGTTTCCCATCTTCTCCAGTGGAAACTCTGGCCCCATTAAAAAACAACTCTCACTGAAACCGGTGTGGCTCAGTGGATAAAGCGTCGGCCTGGGAACTGAAAGTTCCCATGTTCGATTTCGGTCATGGGCATGTATCTTGGTTGGGGGCACAGCCCTAGTATGAGAGTGCAAGAGGCAGCTGAATGAAGATTCTCTCTCATCGATGTTTCTAACACTCTATCCTTCTCTCTTCCTCTCAGTAAAAAAATCAATAAAATATTTACAAAATAATAATAATAAATAAAAAATAAACAAAAAACCACTCTGCATCTCCCCCTCCTTCTCCTCCTCCACCACCACCACCGGTACCTTCATCTTACCTTCCATCTCTGACTCCGATGGCGCTAAGGACCTCCTGTGACTGGAATCACACAGTAGTTGTCTTCTTTTGACTGGCTTTTGCACTAAACGTGTCAAGTCCATCCACATTATTTCACTTACCATAAGGCTCTCCAGGTCCATCCACGCTGTCACAAATAGGAAGATTCCCTTCCTTTTCACAGCCAAGTAGCATTCCATGGGGTCCATGTACCAAAGCATTTTTATCCACTCACCTACTGGTGGGCATATAGGGCTGCTTCCAGATCTTGGTATTGCAAATAACACGCAATGAACATTGTAGTGAATATATTCTTTTCAATCAATGTCTCTGATTTTTTTTTTATACATTTTTAGAAATGGAATCTCTGGTTTACATGGAAGTACCATTTCTAATTTTTGAGGTAACTCTTTACTGCTTTCCACAGTGGCTGCACAAAATGAATTCCCCACAGAGGTGCACCTCTCTGTACATGTTGACCCCCATACAGCTTCTCTGCTTTTCTTAATAGCTGGTGGGGTAGCCAGAGGAACCAGGGCTTGCCCAGGGTTTCTCAATGGACCTCACACCCCAGGCTCTTCTCATCACTGTTTGTCCAGAGGCCTGCTGGGAGCGGGGATTCAGGTGTCCTGAGCATGTCCCACCTCGGTTTTGTTTGAAGACCTGTCCTTCATTTCCTTTCTCTTTTTTTGGATCGTTGTATCACAGTAAAATTTACCATTTCCA